AAGCAGTTATGTTCCCTCCGTTCTCTGGTCGATACCAAAGTCTACACCAAACACGCTCTGGTCCTCTTGTCTTTGTTGCGCTTATTATACGGACCATCCCTTGACTTTTACCTGTTGGCGCGCCTGTTCCGCCAACCCTGTCGTCGAAGTACGCCGAGTATACAAAGAATTTGAATCTGAGAATTGAACAAAAAGAGAAACACCGTCTTTTTAGAGTTGGATCGACTGGCCTCACGTGTTACGTGAATTCGATCATCCCATAAGTAACGTATAGTCGTTTATATTGGTTTTAGATAACGACTTCTGTGTTTCATTATCTTCTTCTGTTAATTCTTCTTCCTATCTCTCTTCTGTGAAAAAAAAAAAATATCAATTTCTTCCTCTATTAAGTCCCCAATTTTTCAAGTACCAACTTCGATGATATATCTAAGAGTCTTCATTATATCGAACTTAACTCCTAAAAGAAATTACATTACTTATGGGATAACCGGATACGATTGTAGCGGCTCACGAATGGAACACTTTTTATCTATAGATTTTTTTGCCTGGTGTTTTAAACTTCCATTAGCACTGTAATAAGAGTTAACCATCATGGTTGAACAGCGGACACTTATGCAAATTTCAATTTTTGCGTATATCCGTTGCAGAAACGGAGATTATTTTCATCCTTTCGAAGCTCGAACCACCGTCCGAGTAATTTCGTGAGCCGCTGTGTATGTGTATGTAAATTACCATAATAGTCTACAATCTATGACAATCGTAAAATTTTATGAAGGAAATGAAATTATTATGAAACACGCGTAACAGAGCGAACGGCGATACGTAATGTTCGAAAGAATAACGTTCCGTCCTGATTTCCTTCAGTTTTCTATACGTGAAAAATTTTTTTCATAGAACTTCAGAGAGCTTTCTCTGCGGCAGGTGAATTCAGCGCTATAATAAAATACGCGATGAATAGGGGATCTTACAGGGAACTCAGCCACGTACAAAAAACGTAAGCTGAAAACGATCTCGCCTCGATTCTTTTATGTCTGCACCACACTTTTATAGAAATTTAATGACAAGTTCTGCCCGTTTGATAAAACCGGTTAAGAATTCACTACTTTTAGAATACTAGCATTCTAACATGAGATTTTCATTATCACTAGTAGCGAATTATTTAATTAATAAAAAGAACATATACAGATTCAAGAATTATCATCAATTAAGAACGTATTTATTTTCCATAAAAACTACCCTTGATTTTGAAGTAGAAACAACGTGTTCCTATTATTGGTAAGTTTTTTTTTTTTTCACAGCCTGAAAAGAGAAATAAATCTTGAGAAACACATCGTCAGTTATAACAGCGTCGAATTTGATAAACTCGAATATCCAAAGACAGCAGGATTAACAAAATTAAATTTCCACTTGTTGAGAATTGGCAAAATTAAACGCGCGACGAAACGTTTTTTTTCAGATTGGAGAAATCACCTTTAGCTAAACAATATACTATGTGTATTACTGACCATACTGATTTTACAAACCACTAATTACTAACAACGATACTCGATAAATTATATAGTTTATTATAATAGTTTATTAGCACTGTTAATAGTTTTTGTTAGCAATCAGTAGTTTATAAAGTATCAATACTAATAAATACTAATTTGTTTATAAACTGCTAATCCCTAAAGAAGCCGCTAATAAAAACGTACTGCAGATCCTTCCAGAGATGGCCAATCGGGGTTAAGCGTGAATACTATTATCGGCAATAAATATTCAAGAAGCCTTATCAAGCGGCGAAACACACCTAGTCTTCGTGACTGGCAACCATTCGGCGTGCGTGATCCTCAAGCTCTGATCGAGTTGTGGTAGACGAGCTTCCAGGTTGGGTGGTAAGCTCGGTAAACCTCTTGGGTCCGGTTGTATCGCGGTCTTCTGTCCACCATCTTCCCCACGCATCAATAATCCGATATGATCGTCGAAGCTACCCTTCAATCCAATATAATCTTCAGCCTGTGAAAGCCAACAGAACAGTTTAATAGCTACCGTGCTAGATATATTGTACACAAACCCGGCCGCGGATGTTTACTTCATCGGCAGGAATTTTCGATCTCCGATTTTCCTCTCGCGTTATCATTATTTCAAACAATTCCAAGGTGTCGCTTTTTCTTGCGCGATTTTATTGAATATTAGAGCTGACAGATCCATCAAAATGATGGACTTTGAATTCAGAGTTATTGAATGAATGTCGATTTTTTTTTTTTTTTT